TCTTCTAAGTTATTAATAACATGCCCYAATTTATATTTACATTGTCCAAAAACCTGAATGAGAGAAGGACTCTGAAATGCAAAGCACAATGGAACAATTWAAGAAAATCTTCCCCACCTGTTGAATTCACTTGGCCATTCATGTTTACACAGACTTCTGGAACAACAACCTGCTTCCCGTCTGTACCYGCTTTCACATCTCTCAAAATAAACCCAAAGGCATTTCACAAACACTTCTTAAAGTCTAAGGGAAAACAAGTTCACTTGGAGTCAACTCCCTYCTGTCCCAGTGACCCTAGATGTGAGGTAGATGTATCCAAAGGTCCCCTAAAAGCAAAACCAGGGTTTCCATGCATGCAGCACCAAGTGATTATCCAGGAACTCCAAACATGAAAGCTGTCATGCACAATTCTGTTTATCCATAATCTGTAGTTTATTTTATATGGAGAATAGTTATTAAGACATTAAGACATTACTATACTAGCAAGATCCGATTTAGTAGTCCTACTCAATATTCATGACAATTTTGTCAGACTGCATTAAAGGATTTAATCTCAAAACTCCCAGGTGGAAGAGAAAGAACTATCAAATGTCTCAGGGAAGGAAACTAAGATGCATGATTTAGGAAACAGCAATGAAATTGAGTTTGATATTCAGGAAAGGAATAACTACTCATAAAATAAAAACTTTCATGGAGTCAACAGACAAGCCAATCTCGATTAAAACCAGAATCTGATTATTGAAGTTTTCTCTCTACTTCACAATGTAATCACTAGAATAACATTACTGTGTAAATTTAATTTCAGCAAAATAACGTTACTAAGATTGTCTATGAACCCACATAAGTATATAAATTTTATAAAAAAGGACCAAGAAATATGAAATTACATTCCACTTTTACAACTAATACRTCTCATCTTCAAACTCAATATAAAATTGTGTTCACTGTACTCCAAATATTAAGAAAAAAAATCACCATTCTATTCAATTTGTTTAATGTAAACTATTGTAAAATATTTCATTTTTCATTGCCTCTTCTTGCTTATACGGGAACATAATGAAGACTGACATATATTGCTTCYAAGTCTCACCTTGTAACAAGGAGCTTAATAAAACCTCCTTGGTGAACTAAATCCAGSGAAGTATGTAAGCTTTTGATTTCAAGCTAGATGTATAAACATTCTAACAGTTCTGTGTACTTGTATTTACAGTTCTCAGGAAATGAAACACTCAAGGCACAAAATGTACATAAACACTCAAGCATCATGTGACAAATTGTAGCTAATTTTAATCACGTAAACAACAAGGGTCCATCCAACAGCACACTGAAGTAATTTCCATTTAATTTCAGTCTTATTAAATCTCTAAAGATAATTAGAATTTAAACAAGGACTCTCTAATTATATTGCTAAAGAAAATGCACCAAATAAGACATGTAGCTCCATGGCACATCTTTTCACCCTCCACTAAGAAACCAACCAAGACAATGCCGGTAATTCTATGCACAGAAAAGAGTTTTCAAACTGCCCAAAATGCCACATACTCAAAAATGGCACATGAAAATACAATTCTTGARTTTCAACATGCACCCCCCAGAGCAGGACTAAGCAACATGACAGATGCCACTACTGTCCTTATACAGCACCCAGCCAAGAAATGTGGAAATCCCTGAGGGTGCCCAAGGACTGGCACAAGTCTCCATCCAGCCAGAAGCTGGGAGGTAGGAACAGGAACAGAGCTCACTCCTCAAAGAACTTTCAACTGTGATACACGAGCCCCACTATGCATCTGAAAATGAATGCATTTTTGAGACGGACAAGAGCTCAGCAAAAATACAAAGTAGCTTTCAGTTTATGCAGCTTAGAGACGTGGTCTAAATCCCAGCTTCCTCCAGTGCCTCAAAGACCCCTTAAAATACCATTAACACCCTTCAAAAAATGTCTATTCTTTCTGGGTTTGTTCAGATCTTTAAGTAAGATAGCTTTTTTTGTGAAGCCTTGTGGAGACCATTACTACCTTCCTGATGAAAAATCATCCTCAACTTCATAAAAAACATGATATCCCTATAGATCCATAGAAACATGGGCTTAAGTCAACCAAGACTTCTTATCATGTTGCTTCTGGCACCAAGACCCCTTCTGGGAAGGCATACAATTGTCAATAATATTCCCCGGGGAGACTGAAGTGACACCATCTATATACTTTTCCAGTCCAGTATTCCACCCATTCCCCAACTGTCTTGCCTGGGTCAGCTGCAACCAGGCCTTCACAAAGAATCCAGGAGATACCCTCAGCAGGCCAGAAAGAAAAAGGTCACAAAGACCAAAAAACTTTCYGAGGTTAGAAAACAAAAAAAAATTGTAAGTCCTTCCTCCCAGAAGCCTTYAGTACAGAACTGAAGAAAACAGCTTATTTAGCACACTTTCACAAAAATAAACACTGSCGTCTTCTTTTCTCAGAGGACCCCCCACTTCTCTGAGAAGTTATAATGGAACTGGATCACGGAGTCCAAGAAATGCTTCTTGCAACTATTAACATGCCTATTCATTAATAGTTAATCTTTCAACTTCCAATTAGTGAAGACGCTAAAAAAAGAAGAAAAAAAGTGACAAAACCCTTAGAAGCAGTATTGAAATAAGAGCAGATGCACAAATAGTACAACAGAAGTTTGGTATGGATACAGATTTATGCTGTGAARTATGTGCTGCAATGATCAACTAAAAAACAAAAAGACCAATACTTCTGAACTTCTTCTGAAGCATCATAACACAGAATCAGCCTTAACTGACAGCAGGCAGCTACTCATCAGTTAGATTTACGCTGACTGTGAAGTATAGGACTATCTAACAGCACAATCTCCTCTCCAATTCTGACATGCCTCATCTACAGTGTCATTCTTCTGATACGTGCCAGGTTTTACATGTTGACACTTCACAAATACCRTTTTTTCCTGACAGCTCCTTTACTAGCCAACTCCAACAACAGATGATTGAAGCCAGAGAGTAAATGGTGCAGCTTCTCCAGAGTAAATCTGGTGTAACAGCAAGCAAGATCAGATTCAACTAACTTTGCAGCTTCAAAGCAGTGGAGTTGAGATCCTCCTGGAACACGTGTACTCCGAAGAGTAGGTAACTCCCCACAATGTACCTCCAGCATAAGTGTGCCCAATGACTGACCCATGTTTAGCAGCTCTCCTCTTTGCTCCAYGAGGAACCAAGTGGCACAACTCCACTATCACTTTCAAAGTGAACAGCACCACATTTTCTGTGGGAATCACCCACACTCAGAAAACCGCATGAAACAAATACCACAAAACAACCAGGGTCCTCATAAAATCTGCTGATCTGGAAAGAAGCTGCTCCAGCGCCTGTATCTACTCCTTATGCACACAGTGAGTTGAGATGCCCTATTCAGGTTCCCTACCAACATTCTTTCAACAAAGAAAGCAACAAACCAAGAGCAAAGGGATCGCTTCTATCTGCACCTCCAATGAACACAAAGATT